TACTTGGCCGTAAAACGGGGAAAATCATGGCCAAAGAAGGCTGATGTTGAGGGCTAGAACTTTCTTCTGGATGCTAAAACAGATACCACTTTGATTCTGCAACTGTCGCTACCAACACTGAGAGGTGGAAGACATATTAGAAAATGCTCAGAAATGTAAATGAGAAAAGCAGCTCTTTCTCCAAAAGCAATCTTTTGATCATCATCTTGCTTTCTGTTCTGGAGGCTAAGGAGCTTGGTTATTCTGTGAGCCTGGGCTGTAATGATGCAACACATTTCCCCCTCAGTAAATAAGGTAAAATAGATAAGGTATAACAGCATAAATAAATAAGTGATTTTTCCTAGTACATGCCCAGGAGATAGAATTCCACAGAAAGTCAGTTTCACACTAATAAAAGAAGACACGCATTTCCCAGGTTAAAGAATTAGCAAAGTACAGAAAAGAGCTAAACCTTGAGAAAATGTAAATTCATTTCAGATTATGTAAGATATATGGTAAAATAAAGAGTGGATATTGTCTTTCTGCAGATGTAATGTTTCAAATAGCTGTTTTTTCTCCCCCTCTCCTTCTCTTAACTAAACATAACTGACATTATCCTTAAAGTGTAAATTGGGATTTTGCTGCTAGCAGCACGACTTAACTGTCAGATGTTTGTAAAAACTATTCCTCCACCAGGCTAAATTTCTATTGACAAAAGGTAGCTGAATCAATTTTTGTTGCTCCTTAACAAAATAGAAGACTGTCTGAACTTGTTCCTTTCCAAGTTATTCTCTTTGGCCTCTCCCTCTCCATAAATAAAAGCACAACTACACAACTTCTAAAACCAGAAGTCAGCACATTAGGTAGGCAAACACAGGCACTTTCCTCCAGAAGTCAGGCCACGAGCAGCACCAACCCAAAGGAAACTCTTGTCAGTAGTCATCTCAGGGAAAGCTGATACTATATGAAGAAAATAAGTGCCATTCAGAACAAACAAGGCTGCCAACTTCAAGCCCCAAATGTCTGGGCTCACCTGACCTGGAAACCTACTGAAATACACTCAGAACTCACAGAGTTAAAGCGCATTGATCTGTAATGCAGGTAAGATGAGCCAAAGATAAACAGTGCCAAAGCTTACAGGCTTTTACAGTTTTAATCAAAAGAAACTTTAAGGCAGGGAGAGGATCAAATTGTAAAATCTGAGTTTTCAATCCTGCTTCTGAAATTCAAGGTGAATGTCAGAGAGAATGGAACTGAAAGTTTCATGCAATGCTCCTGCAGCTGTGGGACAGTTCATCAAAATGAGATCAACAGAAAGAATAATATACTATAGAACTGGAAGCCTTTCCCCAAGTTCTCACCTCACTTGCTTTCTTCTGTTTTTGTTGTTTGCTTGTTTGTTTTTTTCCTTTGAGTGTATTTTCATCTTGGCCATAAACATCTAGTTTAAAAGTATCCTCTGAAGTATATTTACTGAATATGTTCTGTCCTTTATGCACAGTACACAAAGTCTAATTATACTAATCATGCACATTTCAATACAGCCTCTCTCTCATCTTGCCCCAAACCAAGTCTATCATCATTCCTTAGTGAAGCCTTAATCCCTATCCATTTCAAAGATCCATTCTGATTCTTTTTTTCCACTGAAGTTCTAACAAACCTTAAAAGCAGTATTTTGTTCTGCATGTATGTACTTACTTCACATAGCCATCAACTTTTCCCCCCAAACTGCTCATGTCCAGACAAGGATGAAGCTTGCCCTAAGGACAGTTTACAGACATGTGAGAACAGTCTTCAAGAAACTGATGTACAGTTCCAAATAACAGGATTTGTAAGTAAACAAATCATTAATGGAAAACAGCCGAATATAATCAGGACCCTTTTCTTTTTACGTTTGCTTCAATAGTTGATAAATAAAGAGTGGAAAAATGACCAAAAGGAAATTTTGAAAGAAAAGAGAAACTTAAAAGCCAAGAAATGATTTGAAGAAACAAAGATCTATCAAAGAAATTGGTCAGGTGATGAACATATGTGGAACCCTGGATATTGCCAGTTTTCAGCAAACCCAGATAACAGCTGACATCAAGAAAGCTTTGTTCTACCATTACAGGTTAGCATTTCCTTCCTACAAGTTGCTTAAGGGACAGAAAGGAGAGCAGGAGGAATACATCCCTTCATTTTCCAACCAGCTCTTGGTGTGGCTGATGGCATGGGATGATGCTGGCAAGTAGACATTTCTTCTCTAAAAATCTCCCCCCAACACATGCTGTCTTAGACTGCGACCTTGAATTTGTTGAGCAGTTTCCTTCAAAGTTAGTTACTACATTGGGAGCACTAATGTGATCTCTTTTGATACATTTTTGACTACCTATGACTCTGCTTCCAGCACGTATTTCTCATCTTCTCTTACCTGAAGCCAACTTACAACATATGTCTTTATTTTTTAATATAGAGAATTCTTCTCAAGGCTCTTCCAGGACCAGCTGGAGGTGAATTAAATTATGCACTTTTTTGTTACAGAAAATCCATTTCACTTCATCATGATTCTTGCATTTTATATCTGTTCCACATTACTTGCACAAGAAACTTATTACTTTGACCAATGGTTTGCTATTCTACTCACAAGCAAGTCCATGGTATGCTGAAGCTAGAAGCCAGAGAGACGGGAGAGCTCTGCAGGATTAGGATACCTCTCACTGCAACATTACAATCTGTACCTCCTCTTGCAAGTGCATCTGAAACCCATTTCTTCAAGCACTGATGATGATGGCAATGATACAGAGCAGATTACAAAGGCCCTTTAGGGAAGAAATTACTTCCTGAACACTTAAGAACTCTTCCTGCTATACCATTATGTAGGACTGAGGTTCATTAAAGGCAACAGGACCATACTGTTCTTTTCTCCTCCACTTCCCTCGGGCACAGAAATACAGGATTAATAATTTTGTTGGCAGAAGCAGGGCTTCATTTTCAGATTATTTCAGTGCCAACATCTGGCTGGTCTATGACTTTACTCATTTAACCTCAGCGCAGAGGAATAAGCCAAAGCTCTGGCACAGAAACTTAATATATATGGTGATGGAAACTGAGGAAAGCACAGGAAAAGACTGAAGAGCGTGCCATTCTCGAGTCTACCAACCCAAAGTAAAGCCCAGAAAAATTAACTAATTCTACAATCAGTCTACAGAAAATACCATTTATGAAGTATAGCTCCTACTCCGACTTCTGTGAAAATCTTTTCAGCATAATACAAAGGAAAAATTGCAAGAGTATTACAATGTTCCAGTGTTACAACACAGGGCAAGTCTTCCAATCAGCACCTTCTCTTTACACCCAGGCAGAAGGCACAGAGCCTGCTGTGCTGCCAGAGCACCGGCCCAGCACTGCCCCCGCTGTGATGCTTTAAGCTGAAATAGGTACTTAGCTCTGTCCATTTCCCCAGCACTACAGGTCATGGTCTGGCACTTTGTGACGCTCCTCAGCTACTCCCTCTTCTACAGAACCAAGCACACGGTGGAAGGAAGGTTAATTTGTTCACAGCTGAGTTTTTGAAGCTGGATTTCCAGATTGCTTTACTGCAGATGGTTGCTCCTTAGTTACATCCTTGCAGGGACGTCATGCTTATTCTCACTGAAATCAGATCCATTAATAAAGAAAACAAACTATAATTTTGGGCAGACTTCACAGTAACAGTGATTTCCTTACAGATTTACATATGCATTTCTTTTAATGTGTTCACCTGCTAAGATTAATTCTAAAGTTTAGAGCGTGCTCAGCCCCTATTTCAATTTCATTTGTTCATGCCTGCTTCATAAAGGCTTTATTTAATTGCTCATTCTGCTTGTTTTATAATGACAGGACTTAAAGCATGAGGGCTTCTTTTACTATAGGAGCCAAGTTTAACTTTTTTTAGTGATAACGAAGCCCCAATAGGTGCCCATCATCCAAGTGACCAGTGCATTCTTCTATCGTATACCACGAAATCTGAGAAGTTTCCCACTGCTTTCACCTCCACCAACAGAGACAGAGTGCACTGCTTTAAGTGATGACATGCTGAAAGAAGAAGAGAATCTTGCACTGATCATTTGTAAGTGAAGAAAGAGTTAAATGTTTCTAATTGTTATAGGCCTATTCCTTCCAGGTGGAGAGGTTCTGACTTTGACCAACTTTTTCTGTTTAAGACTGTTATTCTATCCTAAGACATGACATTTCTTACCAAGACTGACTGTGGGTTTAAAATCTCCAACAACAGAAAAATCTCCTTTTGGGGCAGACTGCAGGCCGCTGCCCACAGCTCAGCCACCCTCCGTTCAAAGCACTGGTTTGAACTGACCACAGCTGACCTCCCTGTGAGTCTAGCAGCAGGGCTGCCGCAGGGACAGCATCCTGTCTTCATTAGAGCTCGTGCTATTTCTGCAGCCTTTGGGTGTAACTGTTTGTGTGCTAAAAATCCACCGATATTCACGTCGGTCTCTGGACTGCAGCTTCTGAGTTTATGACAGATGGGAGACCAACAGAGGAGTTAAAATCCTGCGAGTCCACACACAGCTTACAGCCAGTAGCCATCTGGCTGGGGATCTACATAATACCACAAGAAGATGACAAAAAAAAAGAAAAGAAAAAAGGCAGTTACATTTGCACTTCCATTTCTCTTCCCCTTCTTTATGCTTCCTGTTTTGAATAGATTTTAATGACTGCATTACAAACAGTCTTTCATCCACTTCCCATAGATTAAATAGCTAGAATACTTTCTCACTAGCACTTTCCACATAGAAATATAAGTTCGGTATTTAGCAAAATGTCCAACACATGACATGTCTATTCTAGGTAACAGCCAACCAGGTAGCATTTACAAAAGCAGAAGAGTTTGAGGAGAGAGCGCCAAATGGAAAGCACCAAAAGAACCTCACTCAGCAGCGCTGCCAATTGCTCTATAAAAACAATTTGAGGCAGAAGTTGAAATGCAGGGCCCCAAAGTATAATTGCTTAGGAAAAAACGTAGCCAGCAAAAGTTACCAAACCTGTTCAGAGAAGAAAGCCGTGATTTATCCCCAAACGTGCTGGGAAGGCTGAAAATCTGGTTTTCAAAGGTAAAAGCATAAACTTCACTAAAGCTCACTTTTGCACTTCAGCATCTCCTTCTATGAAGACAGCAAATACTGCAATACACAGAAAACAAAACAAAAGACCAACACTTTCTCCCCTCAACTTGCCGCAGTGCTCAGAGAGGTGTTTGCAGCCCACAATTACGTGCTTGCTGGGGTAACAGCTCCCTGAAAACAGCAGTTTTCTGATGGAAAGAAAGACCACTAATTCTTTTCTCTGTGTTCTGTGTTGCAAAAGCGAGCGCATATTAAGCAACTCAAGAACAGGAAATAACGCTGACAAACAAACTGATACTTTTTCCATAGCTTGATCGCTCAGAGGAGCACATTTGAAACTTCATCTCCCTAAATCAAGAAATGTTTATTCGACTTTTGGCAAGGCTGCTGAATGCTTGTGTATTGCTCCCCATCCAAACATTTTACGATTCTTCCAGTGAAGCTGATGGTCGCTCTAGAATAGAAAAGAACGTTGAAAGAACATGATTTTTATTACAGCTCTTTCCCTAGAAAAATGCTGCCCTACTGGTAGCAAAACGATGTGTGGAAACGCACCGGCCCTATCTGACACGTGCACTGGAATCACTCTCATATCTCTTCACCTGACCTGGAGTCTCCGGCACGATAGGGGTAGGTGCCGAAGGACAACCACACAGACACTGCCAATCTGTCTTTCAACCTACAGCAAATCCATTATTTCGTTAATGTAACCTCCAACATAAGGGAGAAGATGAAAAAAAAAAAAAAAAAAAAGGATTAAATGCAGACATCTATGTGTGAGCTAATCACTTCACACTCCCTTCACCCTTGACATGATCTACTCAGCGCAACAATCCATCTTGGTGCAAAGCAGACACTGCATATAGGTCAGATGAATTAAGTCCTAAAATTAACCATTTCTCTCCATGGAAGATAAAGTGAGATTAGGATGAGCAATGCGTACGTTTGGAGTTAAATTACACAGCCTCGCTCAGGAAAGGCCCCCCTTTCTCACCTTGCTTAAAGCCCCACTGGAAACAGAATTTCTCACATCTCAGCTAAGGGCTGCAGCCACCAGATTATGGTTTGTGGTGTTTTACTTTGCCTTTTTTGGATGAAAAACTTCATCGATATGTTTCCATATGGACATCTTTGAATAACTGAAGATGTCTTATTTACCCCATCTGTTTAAAGTCAAGAAAAATGCAGTTGTGTTTTTCATTCAGAAAGGCTTAAGCAACTGTATTTGTTATTTCTGAGGAAAAATATGAATGGATAAATTTCAATTATAGGCCTAGTAATATTGTTACCATTCTAGAAAAAAGCTACTGATTAATAGCAATGTCTGATATATACATTATTCAAATTGAAAATTAGAATATGTTTTGAATTAATAATTTCTTCACAGACCGAGTTTTTAATTAAGAAAAAATTGCAGTGCAGGAAATTTTTTCATTTTTCTTACAAGAAAAGTAATTTTTATAGATGCGGCTCTCCAGCCAGGCAAAATGAAACTGCAAAAAGCAGAGCTACAGAATTTTCTCCAGTGTTTTACAGGAATACCTGGATCAAGCAGAAACTGAGCCAAGAAAAGAGTATCTGTGCTGACTTTGACTTTAGGGGGCCCCTTCTCTAACTCTGTGGACTTTGACCCAAACGCTGCAGCACTGCTGGATGTGCAGACTCACTCTCGTGACTCTCCCAGCACACATCCCATCAAATTGGTTCAGCCAGTTCTGCATTCTATATGCACTTCCTGTGACTACTTCCAAACAGTTTAAGGAGTGCAATAAAAAGAAGCTGCGATCGTATAAGTAATGGAAAACTTTAATACTGATGTCTCTGTCTTGAACAATTTGAACATCTCCCATTATTCACAAGGGTTCCTTCAGTTTGACCTTGACTTTTATGGAGCTCACAGAAATGCACAAAATGTAAAATAGATCAGAAAAAAAAGCTGAAAGTGCAGGTACCAGCTCCCTTCCACAGAACTGGGTGAGCAGCCCAGCAAGGAGACCCAGCCCTGGCACAGACCTGTTCCCTCCACAGACTGCCCTCCCTAGATAAAGAGGGCGCTGGGAAAGCACTTTGAGTCTCTTTCTCTGATTTATTTAGAGGAAATATTAGGTGGTTGTACCTGTTAAAACATGTTACTTTCCCAACATCCTGAAGAAAGAGAAACAGTGTCCGAATTCCTACCTATAGGTTTTATTCGCATAGGAGGAGCACAAGTTCCAACCAACTCTGCATGAACTCCTCATAGGTTCTGCTGCATGGAAATGCAGGGTTTGGTTTTTTTCCACCAACTACAACCGATTTACAAAAAAAGGAGTTGAACTAAATCCCAAAGCAGCATGTGAAACCAATTCAAGATCTCTCGATCTGAGGGCGGATGGAGCGATTTGGTGCTCCCATGGCTCTTCTGTCACCAGGCTCTTTTGTTTGAGAGCAGGCTGGTGTCACTCAGCAGCACGGCCAAGCAAAGCCGGGCAGCGCTCTGCAGCAGTGCTTGATATATGGTGAAATACAAAGGCTGTATCCTCCCCTAACAATTGTTGGTAGTAATGCTTCAAATAAACCAGACGCTACAAATGCCCACAGTGAACCTTGCTAATTGCAGAAGGCTTTGCAGGTGACAGAGAGAAACGAGGGCTTTCAGATGTTCTCAGGTAATGCGCTTATGTCTTAAATCATGAAATTTGATTACCTGTCTCTAAACATGCTTTGCTGCCACTGTTATTAGCTTTTATATTATGAAGCCCTTCTTGAAAATTGAACCACTATATTTAATCACACAACCTCCACCGCAAAGTCTACAGGCCAAATGCACGCTGTCTGAAAACAGTATTTATATCTCATAAAATTACACGCGACTCTTAAAATATCTGATTTCTTGATGTTGTTTGATGAAGCTTGAAAGAAAAGAGAAAAACACAACCTGATCGCCGTGCCTCGTATTTCACATTACTATGTATCTCACAGCAGTATTAAAAAAATAAAAAGAAGCAAAGATGAAAACATCCCAGCCATGTCGCAGAGAGGACCTGTTCACACAATTACAGAATCATTGGAAAAGGCCACTAAGACCACCTAGTTCAACCACCTCTATGCTATTTAGTAGTCCTACATTTTATACAACTTCAACATCTTCAAAGTTTAGATTTTAAAGGCCTAAGCCGTTGTCTCTTTGTCTTTGCTTCAGCTCCTGTGCTGTCCTGTGCCTGCCAGCTGCAGCCAGATTTCCTGACCCACCACTTTAATCCAAGCCCTGCCACCAGGACTGTGCAGGAATGAAAAGCAGTTCCAGAGATCCTTTTCCCTCTAGCTGTTCTCTTAAAGAGTTATGGATTTTTCCTTACTCTTTGGAGACATCTGTGTGAAATTACCCACACTACAGTAATCCTAACAAAAACCAAGGTTTATTAAAACAAAGAGAAGCTGGAATTAAAACAAAATAAATTGTTTGCTTAACATAGCTGATTTTACAATTCTCATAAGTTAAATTAGATAAAGCACAAACCAGATAAGCTCGACTTCAGATAAAAAAAGAAAAAAAAATGAATCCTGTATTTTATCCTTTGAAATTAAATATCTTCTCTGACCACAGCAGCCAGCCTGTCAGTGGTGCCTGGAGACCAACAATTCCCCCTTTTTGTCTCCCACAGATACGCCTAATAAGTCTCAGTTCAGGTTTCCTAAACGTCGCTCTGAAGACAAAAAATGGGCTTTGGTAAACAGTTACAGTCTCCATCTCTGAGGAGTTACACCATTGAGGAAATGCACACCCTTAATTGTGATCTATGGCTGCCTTTCCAAGCTTTATGGCCCAGCTCAAACATTACCTTTCACTAACCAGCGCTGCTGGCTGTCGAGGATTTGGCTACACCCATGGGCAAACCCCATGCACAGCAGCTCCTTTCCTTTCCACTTGTCACAGACTGTGAATTACAGACAAGGAGTAAGGCTTTTTGTCTCAATCAGCTATGTCTCAAAATAAGTCCAGTGGACATTTGAAAAATAAAACCAGTCTTGTCTGATGTCTCAACTGACAGATTGTTCTTTCTTGCTGCCTTTATAGGGGTTAGGTCTTGTATATACACAGCTTTTGCTTCAGTACTCTGTGTCATTGAGTGGGTATTTCCCAGAAAGGAGAGAAGCACTGCTCTTGGAAAGCTGCAACAAAAACTGGTCTGCAATAGAAACTTTCACCACTTCATAAGTATAATGGAAATAGCAAGCTTGTTCCTTCTTGCATGCAAGCACACATGTGAGCACACTAGCCAAAAAAAAAAAAAAAAAAAAGGCTTAAATAAGCAGGGCTTCTGTCTACTCAGCAAATAAAATAAAGGTGAACTGAGGCAGTCTCACTGGACAGCCCCATGTTGGAACAAACACACAGGTGTACAGGAAGAACGAGGAGAGCTGATCATACCAGCATCCTGCACAGTTAATCCAGCACAGCTTTCCTGATCAGCCTTTATTCTTCATCTTCCCAATGAGTTTGGAAAAAAAAATAATATCTAGACAATGGCAAGGAAATGATGGAGCTATTGCTGAAGATCTACTGAGAACCTCCGCATAGGCTTGTCTGATGTGATGCAATCCAGTGCTAAGTCAGGACTACAGTATGCAGGTAAGGAAAAGAAACAGCCGTAACTCAAAAGAACATTTGTACAGGAGACAGTTAGACTGTGACTCGGAGCAGTAACGATGTCACTTGTCATTTTTTGCTCTAAAAGGATGCCTGGAAAAATACTGCAGCAGCACAAATACGGGGTGCGGCAGCACTTCAGTTCCCTAAAGCCAAAAGCAAATGAACTGTGATCTGAGATCTGCTCAACAGAACGTTACAGGCACTTTTTTGGTTATGAAAACCACATAGGATGGTCTTTCCAAGTTCCAGATCAAGTTAACAGAATTCATTACAGCAGCACACAGAGTTACTCAAACATTCAATTAAAATAATCTTGCAGAACTGCATTTAAGTTCTATCACCACCCTGATGAACTCCAAAGCAAAACATAAAATAAAGATCAAACTGCAGAGAACGCTACGGAGCAAGTTAATACCCATGAAAAATGAGTGCAAGAAAAAGAGTGAAAAATGGTAGCAGAGGACATGAGAAGGAATGCCATTTCTCTCCTCTACTGCTGCTCATCTAACAAGAGAAAAGTCAGAGAAGAGGAACTACACTGCTGTGGGTAATTTTACTTTTTTTAGTTTGTTTGACATTTTCTTATGAGAAAATCATTTTGTAATTGAGGGAAGGTAAAAATTAAAAAAAAAAAAATCTTAATGTCTTAATTCTTTAGTAATCTCTCTTTTAATCCATTCTATATCATTGAAAAGACTTCAAAAAACAATCCAAGGATAATTATACTCAATGTTCTCCAAAGAGAAATAAAAATATACTGAAAGACAGCTAATTTACGAAGTTTTCCTTAAAAGAATAATCTACTCAAAGATTCTTTCAAAATTATTTCAGATGCACATATTGATAATATCAATAAAAGTTAACAAATCTGACCTGAAGATCTCTAGTGGATTCCTGACACAGTTTCCTTAATTCTGTAGAATTCCTGCACACATTTGAGACAAGTCCAAGACTCTACCTATGCTTTCTATTATTTTTGAAGGTATGAATGTTTAGAAGGCATGCCTCTACCTGTGAGGAGAAGGGAACGGGCCCTCATTGTTCTTACAGAGAAAAAATATAATGCATTAGCCATAAATCAGTGTGGTGCTTTGAGTAGTATCCATGAAAAATCAACCTTGATACTAAATTTGAATTATTCAGAAATACATTAATTTTAGTGTCTGACCTTCTGGCTACCAATGCAGCAGTACACAATACATACAGCCCTTTGCTGTACGTACAATGTATATTCAAAGAGTTTTCTGGGGACTGCATGATACATGAAATGATACAAGGGAATCCTTTGAAGTACTGACTGCACAATAATGAAACACTGGAAAACAGTATCTGTCATGTTTGCACACAAATACTCCGCAAAGCTGAGCTAAGAACAGCACCAGTATAGATTTCCTCTACAGGTGGTAAATATGAACAAAATTTATTTTCCCTACGTTAAAAACAACAGAATAGCAATAGTCTGTTAACAAGGATGATTTTTATAATCAAAACTCAACATCAGTGAAGACACTCATTAAAATGCTGGAGTTACAGAAGTAGATAAACCTTCCATAGCCTCTTATGGCTTGAAGTGAATCCTGGTGCAGTGGGAGCTGAGGCCACATTTCAGGGGTATGGAGATACGAAC